CGTACACAATATCAAGCGTTTCGAGAAATGCCCGTGGAGTAGAACTATGGGAAAATTCGGAGCCCGCGATGTCGATATCGTCGCCGTTGTGTTAGTACGCCGTCGCGTACTGCAGTCCCCCGTTGGGGGAGGGGGGGGGGGGGGCGGTCTTACTACGATAACATGGCGACAGCGTTTACACTCTATGTATTTACGCGAGGCTCGAGTATTTGGGGATAATGCTGCCGGTTGGTGTGCCCCTTTGTGCCTGATATTATCGCCCGTGACGCCAGCGAGTGAGATGGCGACAGGCATGACTGCTCAGTAAACAGGCGTCGGCGGCCATGTTTTGCTGGTTGAAGCGAACCCCCTTGTCCTTGACAGCGAGCGGGGAAATGCGAACAAAAAAGATTGTATCGGCCGTTTTGCCAGAACTAGCGACGAGTGTCGTCGCGGTTTCCGGCAACTATTTTGCCATAATCGTGAGCTTAGCGAGGAAATGATTTTTGCTAGCCACAGAACACTACCACGCAGAAAGGGAATGCTTGAACATGTTTTTGTTCTGGATATATATCAGGAATATATATGAGAGAGAGAGAGAGAGAGAGATGAAGGTAGAGCGGAAGAGGGAATAGCATATAGTGTCGCAGGAGATTAAAGTAAACAAAGTTCCTAGTGGCCGATGGCTGCATGATCTTTTCTCGGATCACTAGTCCGTAATATGATACCTCTTGTACACAGTAGTTTCTCCTTAATTTAAGTGTGTGAACGATTTCTTTAGTTATCATTGGCCTCATCTGAATAAAAATATATAAAAGATGTGTGTTGGTTTCATGAAACTGGAACTCAGAGTCAGTTCTTGTATAAAACACTGCTAAGTGTAGGCTTTGAAAAAGGACCCTACTTTGGGGAGTTGTATCTTCTTTCTCAATAAAATGATGCAACATGTTTTTAATGGAAATGAATGCCCAAATAGAGTATAACAGGTTACCTAAATTTAAAAAAATCGAGGGTGGTGTTTTTTTTTTTATTCGCATCGGAATTTTTCTTTGTTTGATTTTTTTTCCATGTTTGACTAAATATATCCTAACTATTGTATCACACAGATACCTTAGTTATTTTTTAAATATTAGCTATATATTAGTAGAATAATATCTGCAAATTATATCATAATGATTAAATTATTTCATGAGATACAGACCTCCAAAGTTTGCCTATTGTCGTTCGAGCAGGCAGGTTTGTCAATTTTTAGAAAAATAAATAAATTTTAAATAAATATGATTACTTTATATTACAAGCAAGCTATACCCATAGTTTGCGCCTAAAACGTATTAGAGTTCTCCTTATGTTATCGCTTTAGTTATTCACTCTCAAACGGGCCCCCTCCATCAGTGCGCGTTAATGCAACTGTCCACCACCTCATGCCTTACGATTTTTCCTGTCCCCAAGTATTTTTTCTAGTCAAAACTAAGTTTGGATTCGTTCATACCAGACACTAGACAATAACATATAAAAACATCAGTTGATTTGAAAATGTCGACTAGCCATCCTTTGGTCGATCTTATCTGAAATCACCCGGTAATTTGTGTAAATAGCGTGTTTTTCACCCCAAATATTCGCCAAATACACGGGACTTGCTAACAGTGCAGGATATCTTCGGTAGATCTTATATTCGCTGACCATGGCATCTTCGCTCTCTTGATAAGAAAATTTCGTGAAATCTTGCCAGCTTTAGAAACTCGGCAGAAAACCTTTCCTGCATGTTGTTTACAACTTTTTCTTTCTACGATTAAGCTAGCCTTTGGAGGTCCTTTCCGCTGCCCTCGTCGTCATCCTCCATTCGTACTTAATTTATTCGTGCTTCCTGTACCAGTTCTTCCGCCTACCAGATACTCGTAAAACCTACCATAAGCGCAGGTACGAATCTACATACTTCATTTCGCAAAACTGAATGGCTAACATCCATGGCCACCGCGTGGCGTTACATAAAGCAAAAGATCGTCGGATGGTATCGCTACGCTTCACAGAAACGACACTTGGCTATATTGTGGCTTAAAATCATGGTTGCCAGTTATCTGAAGCTTTATCTCAAATCACAGGAAACGCTTTTCCGTCCTCCACAAATGTTTAAACAGAGTTACGGGCTTGAGTTGAGCTAGTCGGTGCTATGTCGTGAACTGTTTAAACAGTTCACGACATAGCAAAGCAATATTACATGAGCTTCATAACACCGAATGTAATGCTGAGGAAGTAGCCCTTTTGAATCATGATGATCGGCAGTTGCGTCTGCTTTGCACAAGCACCGAAATGGCGGTGCACACAACAATGTCGGAGAACGGAGTGCCGATACTCTAAGCGCAGCTCATTTAGCGGCTCTAGTGGGAATCATAGGCGTGACTGCATGCGTTGTATTTTGTTTCTTATTATATGGTCTGTTAGGCTGAACCATGCTGAAATACATTCCTTGTGATTCAATCCCCGAGCATGCGTGCGAGGAATTGCGAATTATACCAGACTGTTATTTGAAAATTGACCTGAGCTCCGGAAAAACCATGCAAGAGTTCCACACAGTGAAATATAATTCCATGTCCCAGACACAACAGATTCCTCGGTAGGAAGCTTGTAGAATGAAAGGGCGTCTTTAAAAAGGAGTGGGAAAAATAGTAACAGTTACGAGTAATTTTACTTCCAAAAGTAATAAGATTACTCTTGTGATTACTTACTCATAAATGTATTCAAACGACTACAAAATGACTCGAAAAATGAATAGGTTACATGGAGCTTGATTACTTGCAATGACTTTCGTAGAAGTCTGTATGTAGCCCTTACCAAAAATGCAGGGGTGAGAGCGTATTTAAAGCAGTTGGAGAACAGGGGAATGAGGAGCTCTCATTTTACCCTCTTTTGTGTGTCCCAGTCTCCCAGACGTGGTTTTTGTACCCCGAGAAATGTAGCGCGTCACTCAAAATTCGTCCGAAGGCGGCATTCCTCGTTCCCGCCTGTGGCCTCGACGTCACTGCGTGAAACTACTGAGCGCTGATTGGCTCACTGGTGCCGCAGCCTTCACCGTCGGCCAAGTTCCGCTGAGAAGGACGTATAGTTTAGTTGCGCACAGCTTGCAGTTTCCCATGTACACAGACAAGAAATCCAAATGGAACTTGCCCAAGGGCGCTTTGCCACAATAAGACAAGTGGTGCGGGGAAGCGTGTTCGTAGGCAGTGCGCGGATAAACAAATGCACTGAAGTACAAAACACCGCTTTCACGAGATATACACATATATATTAAATTAGTTTTGTTACAATTTAGCAATGGTAATTTAATACGTAAAGAAAAAACAACTGCATCTTCACGTGGTGAATGATGTTGATTGGGGCGAAGCTCTGGTGGTGCTTGTCTGCGTAGACGCTGAGCCGCAGCATTCCGAGCCTTTCGTTCGTTTTCATCCATGTCAAGCTGCGGTCAAATGCTCAAATGCGTATATAACCATGTTCCATACCACACATTCTCTTTCTGACATGGATGAAAACGAACGAAAGGCACGGCATGCTGCGGCTCACAGTCTACGCAGACAAGTACCACCAGAGCTTCGCCCCAATCAACATCATTCACCACGCGGAGATGCTGTTTTTTTGTTGTTTTTTGCCCTACACGAGCACGAGAGCACGTGCTCACGTGCTCGTGAGCACGAGCACCCACGCCGGACATCGGACAGACATACGGACATGGCTAGCCCCTAAGGAGCTTCGCCCCTAAAAAAACCTTTAGATTTGATCTTTGCATCTGCCGAATCCTCTTTGCTAGGAAACTTGTGGTCGACAGCGCATCACTAGTCGATGGGCCTCTAGATTTTGAGGACACTAAGCGGCGCTTCTAAAACGTAATCTCCCACATAAAAAAAAAAAAAAAAAGAAAAAAAAAGAAAAATATATATATATATATATATATATATATTTTTCTTTTTTTTTCTTTTTTTTTTATATATATATATATATATATATATATATATATATATATATATATATATATATATTATATACATTACTTAGCTATAGTTCCTTGACTAACCGCAGAATGTGGCACCTTCATGACCAAGCCACAGTTCCCTGCATCACCGTCTCTAAACGTGGGTCAGGTGTGCAGGAAAACGGTTCTAACAAAAATTGCCAGCGATCTTTATCTTTGAAGTTCCACAATGCATGAAATGCAGTATTTAGGGAGCGATCCTTTTAGTTTGTTTAGGAGACACCGCATCGCTTGGCGTGAAGTAAATGAACCAGTTCTATATCCTCTCTAAAAGTAAAGTGTTTCTGGCCATGGTGGGCTTTACACCGAAGCTTCAAATGCATAGGCAAGTATAAACAAACTAAAAGGATCGCTCCTCAAATACTGCGTTTCATGCATTGTGGAACTTCAAAGATAAGGGTCTTGTGCACTTCAAAGATAAGCGTCGCTGCCAATTTTTGTTTGAACCTTTTTTCTGCCACACCCGACCCACGTTTAGAGACGGTGAAGCAGGGAACTGTGGCTTGGTCATGAAGGTGCCACATTCTGCAGTTAGTCCATAAAATGTCAGTCCAATAAAATGGCTATTAAGATGAGAATTGGCCAGGTTCCCACTAATTGTCTTTTATTACGTTAGATAAAAATTACAATCGCTAAATTACCCAAGCATCAAAGATAATGCTGGAAATGTCGGTCTACGCGCCGCACAAAGCCGACGTCTGCAGCAGTAACTGTTCGAAAGCGAAGCCTAAAACAAATTGTATCTTGCGCGCGCGTTCGTCAACATCTTATCTTGGCTATTTACTTCGAATCATTCATACGGGGAAGGCGACCGCGTGCGGCGCGTGGATCTACACTCCCAACGTTCTTGTTTATGCCTGGGTAATTTAGCAATAAGTAAACAGCCACACTGCAGTTTGGGCGACAAACACTAAACCCATTGTTGCCGACATACCTGAAATCCCCTGGACTCAACCTTCATTCAAAGGCTTCAAAGAACAAGAACACAATACGGGCATTTTTTCTCAAAAAGCTTCCGTTTTTATTTGTACAAGCTAAATAACACTATATAAGAGCAGACAGATATCATGAACAAACACAATGGGGCAACTTCCCTTCAATTCTGAAACAAAAACGGGAAGGGAATATAATATATGGTATGAAAGAAAGGGGTTCTGAGATGAAACTGATAATAAAAAAAACATTAAAAACTCATCACAAACACGTGTTTTTTGAAGGAGATGCGGGAGTTCTAATGCCCCATAGATCTGATTCTAGAGTAGTACACTTCACTGAGAGCTACTTGTGGCCTTCCCTCTTTTCTGAGTGTGCAGGGTACTCTCCTACAAAGAACGCGAGGTTGCTTCCGCACACAAAACTTTGTAAGGAGAAACAACGCAAATGACATCCTTCAGCCAAATGACAGAAGCCGAAGAGAACCATTCTGGAAGACACGGTGAAAACCAAAATAATAATAATAATTATAATAATTATAAACGATTTGATTTCCAGTCTTGTAAAGATCTGTACGTGCAGCTAATTCTGTAGAATAGTTGTTAAAAAAAAAGAAGATTCCACAGTGACTAGCAGAATTGTGGAATTCTAGAACCAGCTTCTGTGCCTAAAACCTACCCCAGCCTTCACAACTATAAGGTCCATTTTACGGCAGCTAGGGAGAGTCTCCGATTCTGGACAGGACCGCTAGGATGTGTGAAGGGACACGAAAAATTGCACCAGATGAACGGAAACATTTGATGTGGCTCAAAAAAGGCAGCATAGAATACATAAATATGGTGGGTCGCAGTCATTTTTTTTAAACATTAGCTCTCTCCCCTCTGCTTCCTAAAAAAACAAACGCACGCAGAGTAAGCGAGGCACGGCCCTCGGCGCCACCCTTGACCTGAAATTATGTACACAAACTGGGAGAGATGAGGGCTACTATAGATATGTCGTCTTCTCTGAACATGCACACACACCAAACCTTTGGACGGATCGATCCTCGAGGTGCAAACCACCGCCCCCCGGTTTATTACTGATTGTGCAATGGTGTAAACCAGAGTGAAATGACGGGAGAAAAATGACTCACACTTAAATAGGAGAAAACAAACAATTAGAAAACAAATATTATTACACACGCACGCCACTGCGTTTTGCATTACAAGGAGAAATGCACTCGAGAGCAAGCACCGCTGACAAAACCGTGCACATGTGCAGATGTACACAGGCACGCGCACACTCGTATATATCGCGTAAAAAGTCAACACATTCAAAATGTTGCACGTTGCAAATAGCCTCCCCTGGGGCAACGAGGCGACGCATTCTCTTAACTTCGCTCATGTAGACAAACAGTAAAATTTGGTCTCTAGATGCCCACAACACAAGTCTGTTTCTTTCCGCCTTGGAGTTCTGAAACACCTAGAAGATATTAAGGTGAGTACAAACAGCCGAGTGTTGCAAGACAAGAATTCCCTGAGATTCCTATTGGAAGTGCCCAAGCAGCAAAGTGCTGCCTGGTATAGTATGTTTGCTTTTGTGATGCTTTGGAAATCTTCACCACGGGCACTTTTTTTTTGTTATTTTTTTTTATCAAGTGTATGTTTATTTGTTTTGTCCATGCTGCAACAAACCTATCGTTCACTCCAACACAAAGTTATTGTCCACTCTGCCACAAAGCGTTTTGTCCCCTCCGCCACATAACTATCTTTAGTACAAAGCTAAAGACGACGCTGTGTCTCGTCAGTTCTTATTCTTTGTCCATCATCTTCTGTACTGTTTTTACATTATGCTATTTGAGTGGTCAAAATTTCGAGAGGAGTGTGTACCTCCGCTACTTTGTGTGGCCCGGTGTTATCACATTTCCTCTTTTGTTGGAGCATCCACCGTGACAACCCTAAAATTAGGGGGTCGAGGCCCCAACACGAGTTTGCCGAATTCAAGAAAAGGTCCCATGACGGTGAAAAAAGAAAAGAAAACCAATCAGCTTCTATTGCGTTGCAGACGATTCTGACAACAAACGAATCTCGGCAGAGAGGAGAAGACAGAACGTCCTCGGGTTTGCACAAACACCGATTGCACTGCGTGCGTCCACAGAAAAGAATGTAAACAATGAGCTCCAAAAAGGCACGTTTTGAGAAACAAACGCACACACACCCAGGCACACATGTGTGATGATGTTAAAGAGATCGGGATGGTTGTCATGCAACAGCCCTTTCATGCTCGTCAGACGAGGAACACTGCGTTTCGAAGAGGCCCGACTTTGCAGGTGGGGACGCTGGACAGGCAAGGCCTGTCCAGTCCGGCGTCCAATTGGAAAGAAAGCGAGGAGAAAATTGCAAAGAAGGCTACTTTCTTAAATATAAAAGCACATTTATAAAATGAGTGAGATGAGACGGATTTGGTTTTAAAAAGGGTTACGACAAGAAATAAAAGGGGTCCATAAAAAGAAGAAACGCAAGGAAAGGCAACGCTGAACACAAGTGCAGTGACGTCGAAAACCAGCAAAAAGGGCTCCTCTCCAAAGGAAATGAGCAAAGCTCGATTACGACGCGGCTGAAATGCGGGAGGGTAAAAGACGAAAACTATCTTTTAGGGCGTTCGGCAAAAGACGGAAATGCGTAGAGAAAGCGGACGTCAATGGGACACGGCATCGTGCAGAATAATAGGTCAAGAAAAAAGAGGAAACAGACAGAGAGTAAAAAAAGAGACGGTGAAATTTCTAGTAGTTTCGAGATCAGTATTGCCATTGTAACAAGCAAGGAGAGGAGGCAAAAAAAAAAAAGAAGAAAAGGCTCCCTCCTTACCTTATTTTCTCACAAACACACACTTTCATTTTTGGTTGGATGTTTTGTCACTGTTTTCTCGTCTATTCAGTCCCACAGGGGGCGAGCGTGCTGCCCGGGCTCGCGCAGTAATTTTCATCGTCTTTTCTTTTCCCTAGGAGAGGCGGCTTCGGTGTGCTTGGGCAAATAGGACTCCTTGATACATGATGCCGTTGATCTCCATCGTCACCACCATCGAACTGTCCACTTGACTTCGTCCGTCCCCTGCACAAAACAAGAGATGTGGGCATCAACACCAACAGACCGACAAACTATTTCAGAGGTTGCACAGAACGAAGACTCGTTTACTAGAGGGTCACAAAACAGAACCGTGTGTTTTGCCTCTAAATGGTGGCCTGATTCTTCTGTGCATGATTTTACTACGAATCGGGATGACCCCAGAACAGAGATTCACAGAGGCTTCAAAGAATATGCAGCTGAGCAATGAAATGGCCTAGATGCTTGCATCCCAAATCCTTCTACACTTGACACACTTGTGGTAGAGAACTGCCATGCGAAAGATTATGAAACTCCATCATGCTTAGACTGCATCCAAGCAGAGGAACGACTTTCACAATGTGCCCCGGTGGAAAGTATGAGCTGAAACAGCCGATTCGGCTTTTCTCCTACGTCTGCGGTCTCCACAACGTCTACCATATCTCAATGTCTAAAAAAGTCTAAAGTATTGGACCTTGACTTTGGAATTCATTCCTACATGGGACCACACATGAATATTGTGAAACTTCCCAGTACAGTCGACTCTCATTAAATCAAAATCTCTTAATTCAAACTTGCGGATAATTCAAACTAACATGCAGGTCCCATCCTACGCGTCTCTATGAGAGGAAACTCCTGATAATTCAAACTTCGCTTTATTCAAACAAATTTTCGGCTGCCCTAGAGTTTGAATTAACAAGGTTCGACTGTACTGTCAGCGTCTAACACAGACATCTAATCAAATAGCACTTGATTTGAGGCAATAATCTACAGTTCGAAAAATTCGCACCAGCCTGCCGAAACGATCCGGGTGTGTAGTGGGTCCTGAGCTATTACATAGGTGGCATTAAAGTTAAAAAAATGTAGCTCCAACCAACTCGAAAGGAAACCCTACATTTCGAAATCAGCTCGGTTTCTTCTTCAAGGGCAACTGGAAGCACATGGAGCAGAAGCAGCTCCTAAGCTCTTCATCTTCAAAAAAAGAAAAAAATTGTAAAAATTGAAAAATCATTTTTTTAGTTATGCAGAGGATCATTTCTTCAGCTTTCTCGTCAGGTAACAGAGGCCAAGTGCATACACAGAGGGCATTTAAAATGGGAACCCAGTGGAACTGATCCTCCTGGTCTACGAGGTCACAATTGTGAATGACTCTCATGTTTTGGTCTACACGCATAATAACGTGCTTAGTATGTCATCATTCTCAAGGGGCCAAGGTGTGAGGACGACAATTGAGCTTAACAAAGGCTGTGCCGATAAAGGCGTTGCTGCACCTGGTATAGGGAAAGGCCGCCGCTCAGAAAATGAAACCACCGTTGTATACATCACGGACAGATAAATGGGAAGGGAATGCATCCTGCAAATGCTCCAGGCATCTGACGTGAAACATTTATTCAATCGCTTGCAAGCTGCCATAATGGAAGTATGTTTCTCAATGTTCTTTTCCCATTTGGTTTGCAGAAATCGGCTTACAAAAACCAACACCTGCAAAAGCCAGGGGTGTTTGCCATAAGCACATCTTTATATTTCTAAACTAGCTGGAGGATCAACAACGAGAACATTGGTTTGTTGGGTTAAATTTGGATTTGTCTGTGAGGGGCTCCATTATCATTAGAATATGTAGGATACAAGAAAAAAAAAATTGTAGGCAGGCTCATTGAAGGTGTGAGGAGTGTGCGATAGCATAACTCTGACAGATTTCCCCAGAGGCGATAGCTCCAAAAATTGGGTAAGTCTATTCCTTCCAAAAAATAATAGGGGTGCTATCGTTCGCAACAATGATAATATTGTTCATAATTCATATTCACAATCATGATAATATTGCTCATACAGTAAAACCTCGTTATAACAAAGTTGAAGGAGCGGTCGTAATTATTTCGTTATAACCATTAGTTTGTTATAGCCAATGTCCATTTCTTCCCACTATTAGCAAGCAAGGGGAATTATAATTGCTTTGTTATATCCATTAGTTTGTTATATCCCGTTTTGTTATAACGAGGTTTTACTGTAATTCATATTCACAATGGTGATAATATTGTTCATAATGAATATTCACAATGATGATAATATTTTTCATAATTAATATTTGCAATGATGATAATATTGCTCATAATTCATTCATATTCACAATGATGATAATATTTGAATCAGATGCTTTCAAATCAAGTTAAGATCAAAGAGCAACAACTAATGATCAACATATGCAATAGAAACCTGAGTGGTTTATTTCAAGATGAGTGCTGCCTGGGGGTTAAGTGGCTGAACAGGAACAGTCAAATAGGGATCAAAATGTGTGCAGTTGGCATTAGGAAGAGGCATGTCAAGTAAAACTTGTGAAAGATGCATTTTGTGTCTTTGAACCAAATATACTTCTGGCTTATAAATGCAAGCAGCTCAGTATCAGTAAGCATGAGGCCAGTTGAGGGAGATATAAGGCTTAAAAATGCAAATTATCTTATACATGTCAAACTGTATGTTTAGAGAGAAGACCCTCACACCATGCCTAAGTCCATTCACTTAGTAGCTATCCATTGTTATAAACACTGCTAGCCTTGCATACAAAAGAGTTTGGAAAAGCAAGTGACAAAAAACAAGCCCTAGAGATGAAAGCGGCATTTGTCTTTTGATAAAGCAAGTGCCTTCTGCCTTCTGGACTTCGATAGTTTCTGGGACTAGATTTGGGACTGACATTTCTTCATGGATGACGAAAGTGACTACTGTTTTCTGGACTGCAAGGGCCACTAGACTGGATTTGGGACTGCCATGTGTTTGAGGATGAAGAAAGTGGCTAATGTTTTCTGGAGTGCAAGGGCCACTGAACTAGATTTGGGACTGACATTTCTTTATGAATAAAGAATGTGACGACAGTCTTCTGGACTGCAAGGGCCACTGGACTGGATTTGGGACTGATATTTGTTTGTGGATGGGGAATGTGACTACTGTTTTCTGGATTGCAACACTCGACTGGATTTGGGACTGACATTTGTTTGTGGATGGAGAAAGTGGCCACTGTTTCCTGGGTGGCAGGGGCTACTAGGATTAGATTTGGGACTAACATTTGCGTATGCACAGAGAAACAAACTACCGTTTTCTGGACCACAAGGGCCACTGGACTGGATTTGGGACTGACATTTGTTTGTGGATGGAGAAAGTGAATACTGTTTTCCGGACTTCGAGGGCTATGAACTGGATCTTGGGTTGACCTTTATTTGTGGATCTAAAAAAGGGCTACTGTTGTCTTGACTGCAAGGGCCACTGGACTGTATTTCGGGCTAAGATTTAATTGTGGATGTAGAAAGTGACTGCTGTCTTCTGGACTGCAAGGGCCACTGACCTAGATTTGGGACTGAAATTTGTTTGGGACTCGAAAAAGTGACTATTATATCCTGAGCTGCAAATGCCACGAACTGGATTTGGGACCGACATTTGTTTGTGTAGATGGATAAAGTCACTACTGTCTTCTAGTCTGCAACGGCCATTGAACTAGATTGTGGACCGACATTTGTTTGTGGATCAACAGTGCGACTGTTTTCTGGACTGCAAGGGCCGCAGGATTGGATTTGGGACAAACATTTGTTCGTGGATGGAGAAAGTGCCTACTGTTTCTTGGCTGGAAGGGCCACTGAACTACATTTGGGACTGACATTTGTTTGTGGATGGAGAAAGTGACTACCGTAAAATCCCGAGAGATGCCCCACCCCCGAAGGATAGCCCGCCTCTATTTTTGGCTCGATTTGCTATACTATTCTAAACACCGAAAGACAGCCCACTTTTAGTAATAGTAGTGCTTGGATGAATGACGGCCTCGGCGTAATACGGCTAGTTCGCTATGGCGGAATATAAGCAAACGTTGCGGACTCGGAAGTACAGTCGTCTTTGCTTCATTGCCACCATAACAAGCTTGAAAGTGACATGACCTAAAAATAGCAATTTTTTAAAACTTTTCTTGATAGTACAATTAAAGTTAGCCCACTCCATATTTTCAGCTGATTTGCTCTTGATGCTAGGTGGGCCATCTCGGAATTTTACGGTACTGTCTTCTGGACTGCAAGGGCCACTGAACTAGATTTGGGACTGATTTTGTTTGGGGATAGAGAAACTGACTATACTCCATTTCACGATAACTTGGCGAACTATTGAAGCTGTGGCCTTCGCGACCCAATAAGGGCGCCAGAGCAAGGCACGTGATAACACTCCATGGTCGACGCCACCGGGGCCTCATTACTGCTACAGCAGCAGAGCCCTCCATGACAAAAAGTAGTTCTAGGCTTCATTTCCTTTTAACAGCAATTGAACTTGCACGATTTCATCTATAACGAGAAAATATAAAGAATAAATAATCACAAATTTAGGAGTTTCAATTATATTTAAACAAAAAAAAAAAGCGACGCCACATCCATATCCGCTCAATCTTTTTCGCCTTGTAGCACCGTGGCCAATGGCGATCACAGCTATGTAATCGGCCATTTCCGCTCAAAACATCGCGCTGTGCCCGGCATTAGCACCCGTCACCGATTCGCAGCTAGATTGAGCTTATGGTTTTCTCATGAACTGTTCCCGAAGTGCTCGCTATTCTAGCGGACAGATATGTTGCTGGGGTGGACGTTCATCTGAAGTTGGTTGGTTTCGGACCAGACGGCTCTTGGTAAGCAGACGACAGCCGAATCCTCTGAGCCTCGCACCTCGCATTTGGCGTGGTGACACAAACGCTCCCATGATGTCAGGTGATGCCTTGCTCCGACGCTCTTATTGGGTCGCAGGGCCCTAGCCTCCACAGTTCGCCAAGCTATCGTGAAACGGAGTATACTGTTTTCTAAACTAGATTGGATTTAGGACTGACATTTGTTTGTAGATGGGGAAAGTGACGACTGTGTTCTGGATTGCAAGGGCGACTGGACTGGATTTGGGACTAACACTTGTTTGTTGATGGAGAAAGTGGCTACTGTCTTCTGGACTGCAAGGGCCACTGAACTAGATCTGGGGCTGACATCTGTTTGTGGATCTAGAAAGTGACTATATCTTGGACTGCAAGGGCCACGGACTGGATATGTTTGTGGATAGACAAAGTGACCACAGTTTCTTAGACAGCAAGGGCTACTGGAAATAGATTTGGGACTGATATTTGTTTGTGGATGAAGAAAGTGGCTATCCTCTTCTGGACTGCAAGGGCCTCTCGACTGAATTTAGGGCCGACATCTGTGCGTGTAAAGAAAGTGACTAAAGTCTTCTTGACTATAAGGGTTCCTGGGAGTGAATTTGGGACTGATGTTTGTTTCTAGATGAAGAAGGGGACCGCTCTTTTCTATAGTATAAGGGCCACTGAACTGAATTTGGGACTGACATTTGTTTATGAATGAAGTAAGTGACAACTATTTTCCCGACTGCAAGGAACAGTGGGACTGGAATGCTCAGTGACACGACTCACCTCTGCTAGTGAGCTTAATGTGTGTGGTGGGCATCTGTGCCGTGTGGGAGAGGATTCGCTCCTCTTCGGAGGAGAGAAATCGCTTTGAGGGGGGTCCATTCAAGAGGGGCTCGTCCAAGAGCCTCCTTGGATCCAGGGGCTTGTGATCCCCTCGAGGAACTTCCAAATTGAGGGCCTCTTGCTGCTGGGGCACGTACAAGGACAGCGATAGACTGTTGTCCTCCTCTCCTGCGAGGGAAATGACAAGAGATGGAGTTCTGGAGGTCTACATCCCAAAAAAGTGAATCTGGAAAACGACAAGCGGCGACCTCGGGACATCCATCATTCACTGCCCTATGCTGATGTCCAGAACTAGTGGGCGCCATTGCTTTCTGCATCAAGGCGTCTAGCTGCATGGCAAGGACATATTAACGTTCGCTGTCCTGTGTGACTCCTTTTGGCTCTTGCAAAAACATCTCTGATGCCACATGATGCTTTCAAACGACAGAGTATGGAGTCAGTATTGCATGAGGGTGTAAGCCAGATGTCCTAGTGATGTGCAGGACAGTAATACTAAAACTCTGAACTTTAGCTCACATAGAACAATAACTATATTTTTGTGCTTACTTCCCAAGTGCTGGTTTCTTAACGTGCATGACGTGCAACGTGCACTTCCAAAAATGTCACGCCTAGTCTGCCACAAGTTTAGAATAGCAAGACAAGAACTTCCAATAAAGCTCTCCACATGCCATGATCGGTGGTTCCCTCCTTTCCACTTACCTCCTCTCTGGTGTTTGCTTTTGTTAAACTGGAAAGAGTGGAAGGCTTTATGAGAGGAGTTTGTCCTGCTATTCTAAACCTGCAACAAACTATAGATGGCATGCTAACAGCCAAATGGCCTTGTTCGTTTCTGCCCTGGTTTAAATCATTTTCAGAATGATATTTATGTCCACGGTCACTACACGTGATGATGCTGAATTCCCGGGGCATGTACCTGGCCCTATGATGCATGTGAATGTGCCGTTTGTCCGCAATCAACTCTGCATCCTCACCATGCAACTGCATTTTGGTTGAGCTCTGCCCTTTACTCAGGACATCTGCTACTAGCAAGGTAAAATTCCATTTTATGTCAGAATATGCATGTAAACCTTGTTCATGCTCATATACTATAAGTTCCACTTATGCCCTAAAAATAGCATAGGATGTGGGCAGGTCTTCTGTACAAAATGGTACCCTTATGAAGCCATGTACAACAGAGATAATGTTAATGCTGGCATGGGTTAGACTTTAACCCCCCCCCCCCCCCAAATCACAACATCAACATAAAATTTAATGCCAAAAACATAAATGCCCACACAAACAAAAATTCATATTTAACAAAAAATAGATGCTCCATAATGCTTAAACAAGGAGTAATGTGCAGCCCAGCTGGTGCACATAATGGCTGCCCAGTCCTACTTTTGAGTTTTACAGGGGTGACTGTTTTGTGGAGTAAATTTCTATTTTTCTTAAAGATTCAAACTGCCAGATATAGCATCCTACTCACAATGTAAACAAAGTCACCAAGATCCATCTTTTATTTATTTATAAAAGAAAACCTGCAGCGTTGAAACTTCAACATTATAGCAGGTACAGCCCATGGATTAATACGCTCATACGCTCAATAAGGAACTAAAAAACAGAACCCTCGAATATACAGCTTTGGCTGTCAAGAAAGAGAATCCATAACCAATAAGAATAAATAACGAGACCATTTCCTGAGGTAAATGATCCCACGTCGTCATTAATAAAAAAAAAAAGACTCGGTTAACAGGTTTTACTGAGCGATTTTGTGTGGAAAAAATGCAGAAAATTTCCCTTATCTTTCTGGAATGATCCACACGATTTGAAATACAGTTAAGTAATTCTACGTATTTGCTTTGATCAATACCTGTCAAATCAGTAAAAATTGCGAGCAGGAAGCTCAATCAAAAATCTTAACAATAAAGTTTCCCAACCAAGTACATTTCTAATCTCTGTAACGCTATTGTTACTACTATAATTTCCTGTTACACATCTTGTTGCATGGTTTTGAAGTTTCTCTAACTTATCTTCAAGGTACTTTTGGTGCGGATCCCACAAAACACATGCACACTCCAGTGTTGGTCTAACCAAGCAGCAGTAGGCTGCCTCCCTTAATTTCTGTGAAGCACCACATAAATTTCAAATAAGAAAATTTCGAATAAGAAAATTTCGAACTAGAAAATTTAAAGTTAACTGTTTCAGTGACGTGAACACTAAAAAAAGTGTACTTGACAAGGTAATCCCCAAATATTTAACATCAGTGTTATTACTTAATTTATGATGATCAATAAAATAACATGATGGGACAGGTTTACGTTTCCTCCCAAGAATGAATTACACACACTTATCCACATTCAAGCCTAACTCCCAAATCTTGCACCAATCTGATTCCTATCCAGATCCAACTGTAAGAAAGCCGAATCGCTAATGCTGTCAACCCTGCTATACAAAACACAATCGTCTGGAAACAGCTTTATGGACAAGTTGATGGTCGATGATATATCAATAATAAACACAAGAAATAAAAGAGGTCCCAGCACTGACTTCTGTGGCACGCCAGAAGTCACAACAACAAAGTCTGAGCTTGTACCATTTACGACGACACACTGTTTTCTCTCAGAGAGGTAATTTTCTATCCAACGGTAAACGTTTCCATCAAGGCTAAGGGAGCTCAGTTTCTGTAGCAGCAAAGGTTCAGGCACTCTATCGAAAGCCTTGCTCAAATCAAGAAAGATGGCGTGCGTTTCTTTTCCCCCTAAGCCATTGAAATCGAGTCATGATAAAGTTCAACGAACTGTGCGGCGCATGAGAGGCCCTTTTCAAAACCATGTTGGGTAGAAGAGAAATAACTATTTGTGTTGAAATGCGTACAACACTGCTATAAATCATATGCTCTAAAATCTCGCAACATATGCAGCTCAGTGAGATGGGGCAATAATTCTCCATTTTGTGTTTTGACCCCTGCAAATGGATTGGCGTAATGCATGGGACCTTCCACTGACCTGGGAGCACACTTTGTTGTAGAGATTTACGAAAAATCATCTCTAAGTAGCGAGACACAACAAATGAGCACAATTTTAAAACTCTGGGCGACAAACCATCAGGAGCTACAGCCTTTTTAATATCTAGCTCATCTACACTGATGACAACAGGGGCCATTTGATTCAGAATTTTTTCATTCAGATGGGAATAAAAATGAGTTCTGATATTAGAGGCAAAATAGAGTAGAAGTATGTATTAAAACAGCTTGACTTTTTGTAACTTTCTTCAATTACTTCCCTAAGACATAATATATTTGAGATTCCCATATTCCCCTTTCGTGTCTTTTTAAGGTATTTCCAGAATTCTTTGCTACTGAGTTGCATGCCATCAGACAGTTTATCAAAATACTCGCATTTTGCAGTGGTAATAGTTTCCTTGTAGGTTACATTGTTTCTCAAGCTATGCAGCTGCCGATATGCATAAGTGTAGTTTACAATTTTGATAACCACGTCTGCATTTTTTTATCACCTTTCTTACAGCAGCTGTCATCCAAGGCTTATTATTCATGGCTTTTGCACCTATTAGTTTAACGGGAATGTATTTGTCTAATAATTTCATGAAATGATTTTTGAATGGTGTGCCTAGCAAAGTCGAGTCTAATAATTTCAAGAAACTATTTTTGAATGGTGTGCCTAGCAAAGTCGAGTAAACAAAAGTCATGTCCTTAACAGAGTGGGCGATCTTATACGACAGATGCAGCTGCTGCGGACTCGGTTTCGCTTTTGTGCCGAAAGCAGTACTGTATTAACCGTGGGTGAGACAGTCCTGTTCGAGAACAAGAAAACAATGCTGACACATTTTGTGAGGTCATTAAAACATGAGGTATTTTTTTTATTTAAAGGCACAGTAACCGGCAAAAGTTTTATAGTCACTGATTTGCCTTAAAATTAATTAAACACATTAATAAACATAACTGAACTAGTAACCAAAATGACAAGTTACAGTAATTGTCATCAAAAAGTTATTGCATTTTTAAGTATGATCTGAGATGCCCTACTTTTAACATTGAAAGCATGAAGTCAAATGTAATATGAGGGCTCTGGCAGCACAACTTGTTCCCAACAGGATACAAGTTTGATAATGTGAAATGAATGCTGAAAAAGCGAACACACACAAAGAGAAAAAAAAAAAATATATATATATATTTTACAATGCCTGCTTCATTTACAAGTTATACATGTTGTTGCACCACTAGATAGTGCGGGAAAATCTGAATTTTAGTTTTGCCGTTTTTTCAAATACTATATTGAATTTAGAAATAGCGACTGTAAAATGTGCTGAGGTAAAATATCTAAAAAAAAATTCTGCTGGAGTACCTTTCAATTTAAAATCTCCGATTTAATAGTTTATGAACTCTTCTCGTTTACCTTTTCCCCTTTCAATAAAAAAGATTTAAAAAAAATAAATCAAGGGTCTACCAACGGAGAATCCAATTCTTAAATGCTAATCCCAACGTGTAAAATAAAAATCGCGAAATTAACCGCCACTTTCCAATTAATGCTTTCAATATCATCCGACAAACACGCAAACCCAAAAGCATTAAAAAAAAACGGGCCAGGAGAGCGTTTTGCAGCTTGATTAGACGCTAAGTTCACGAGAGCAGGATCATTCAATCGATCAGTCAATCGTAGAAATAACCAGAGATAAGCTGCGTTCCCAATTAACCGTCCTCCGGTCCGCTCAAAACGACGACACGGCTGACCCCATCCGTGCCACCGCAGTAATCTAATATATCGTGACCAGCTTCTTTGCGGGGCCTCGGGACAGGTATGTGCAAATAGCCTAATTCAATAAACAAGCCACAACCCGATTAACTCGCGAACCCTGCGTATTCATTTCTTTCGCTCATCCACCCTTGCCTGGAGCGCAGGCGGCCCAGCCCCTTCTCGTTGCTGCTTTTAGTCCTGCCTCGCGTTTTATTTTTGCCGTTTCTCCGGACGAACCCGCAACTTGTAATAACAGCGGGTCGATTCGATTAACATTCCGATCCAATCGGGAGGCAAAAAGTAGAAGAAAAAAAGAATCGGTATAAATAATCGGGAGCCGGAGAAGAGGACAGAGACCACAGTCCAAGATGGCCCGCTTCACCGCGTTCCATCAGACAAGTTACGGCCGTATCGGACAGACGGCGCCACAATCCCAGCGCGAGTACCCGCGCGCGCTCGCGCGGGGGCCAATCATCAATCAGCGAGAGGGACGCACACTCTCGGAACCAGACCTCACCCACCTCCGGTCGTCTGCTACCGCGAAAGGAAAACCAAAAAAAAAAAATAACCGGGCGCTCAAACCGAAACCACACGCAGCAATGATGACAGAGTTCATTTCCATTTAAATGGAGTCATGTTGTTGGCTCTCTACGGCATCTTGTTTTGTGTCCTCCGTTCATCTATTCTCCCTCGGTTGTAATTACGGGCGGATCGAGCGCGCGCGGTGTGCTTACGCTTTTCGCGATCGTCGAAGTCACGAGTTGGAGGTGCCTCGCTTTTGTCCGGATTATTTCGGCGTGTGCGTGCGAGCGGTGCTGCCGCTGCCCTTTCCTAGCGCGTGCGTTTGCGCTAAGACAAATGTTTGGCCAGCTCTCGCCACCGTCCTTTCGCGGTTCCCCCCCTTAGCCCCCTGTTCTTCCGTTCGGGGCGTCCATGATAAATTCGCAGCCGCCTGGCTACCGCGCCAATCTCCGGTTACCTTACCTACACCAAAAAATCCGCCGCGAAAAAAAAAAAAAAAAAATCAAATGGGAAACGCGCTATTTAGCGCTCTTGCTCAACAAGCTCTGCTGTCTCTCTTCTGTGCCCTTTATTGCTTTTGTGTCGCTTTTTTCTTATTTTTTTTTCTGACACTCCGGAAGCATCTTTTAGCTTAAAAAAAAAAAAAAAAAGAAGCGTTCTTCCCGCAGACGGTTCCCCCGAATGCGAGACACGCAATTAGGGCGATAGTTGCGCCAAATGTTGACAAATTACCTTCCACTCCCCAACTAAACGTCACGCAGCGATTCGACACGCGGCCACGATCTTGGTGTAGTTGCATCTTCTGGAACTTGTTATATTAGGGAGTTTTTCTAGATCGTTCCGACACGCCCGATACATTCGGGGGTTTTAAAGGGAAGCTACGGAGCTTCTCGAAAAAAATGAGTTAGAAGTGAATTCTAGTGTATTTTTACCTCGTGAACCCGAATACCAAAACCATTTGTCGCGCAAGTGTTTTTAAACGCGAGAAAAACGCGAAAGACTGTCGCTGTCCGTGACGTCATCGACGGATCTTTTGGCTTGCCAAGGCTAGGGAGGCGGGGCTTCAGGCCTTTTTTTAGATTGCTTTTATTGCTCTCCGGCGCGTCGCATTGAAATATAATTGTGATATCTACTATTCTAAAGGCCAAATGAATGCAATTCAAGCGTTTTTTCTCAAATGTAGAAGTGCCCCATCTTCCCTTTAAGGAACCGTTTTCGCACATCCGATAGAGTACGAAGGGCCCTCCGGTACGAACTGCGCATATGCGAGTGCCTTCGGCGGGTGCGCATGCGCAGTTCGTATCGGAGGGCCCATGGCACCGTATCCAGCGGGCAAAAACGGTTCCCGAAAACTCCCTAATAGGGAATTTTAGGGAACCGTTTTTGCACATCCGATACGGTACGATAAGCCGTCCGGTACGAACTGCGCATATGAGTCTTCTCTGTGCTTGCGCATGCGCAGTTCGTTCCGGGGAGCTCAACGTACCGTATCGGGTGTGCAAGATACGTTTCCCTAAAACTCCCTAATGATGCCCAATAACGATACGATGCATGTGCAAAGGCGCCGGCGGAGTAACGGGTATCGTTATCGGAGTTTCCGGAACGATTCACCAAAGCTCCCTACTGATGCTATTAGCTTCGCTGTTACTAGACAGTGTATAATGACGGTCCGAATTTTGTAGAGTAATATATATATATATTTATTTATTTTGAGCCCAATGTTTTGTCTTTTAAATACTTGTTCACAATAAAAGTGACTTTTTTCTGTCGCTAATATATGGGCGGTTTCATTTGGATTCAGGCAACGAGGTGCAGTCGTATTTTTACTTTCCTTCAAATTTTTATATTACGTAGCGCATGTTCCAAGGAGCACAATTCTTTTTTATTTTAATGTTCTAGGATGTTTAGATTCTGAGAAACAAAATCTCAAAGAAGCGAGCGGGAAAGAACGACGAGGTTTTAACGACTGTCGTGTGTGCCGTTTTTTAATCAGTCTCAATCTCAAAGTATTTGAAACAGGGCGTCTATATTTTTTATTGTGATACAGTATATATACAAGTAGGTAAAGCGCCATTAAACTACTATTTATTATTCGTCACTCCAATCTCTGTAAAAATCCCCAAACATGCCTCCGCGAACAGCTGTTTCATCTCATATTGATCGCGATCATACAACCTTTTTACTGAACCCAGTCCTAGCCTAGCCTTGGTGGGGAGGGCCTCTCCCACTTACTGAATAGCAACAAAATTCTATCGCCTATTTTATTGTTAAAATGTCAACCACGTTTTAACCACACCACAAAGACGAAATGTTCTTTTTTTTTCTTTTTTTCTTTTTTAAGGGCATAAAACGCTATTTAAAGGGAATAAACCGAATGTCGTTACGCTACTCTGAATTTAGAAGCAGCGCCGCTCCGCTCGCGAAAGTACAGCGGCAAGCTGCGTGTGCGCGAGGCCTGTCGAAACGAACTTCCCTTCTCCTTCAGCATAATCGACTCCAGCCGGGAGCGGGGACAGGGAAACTACAACGGCCAGGTTGTAACGCGTTGACGACACCAAATGGCGGAGCTCATAACCGCGCCAGGCTCCAAACAGCTTTTTGCCCACGCTGGGCCAGTTAACGGCACGTCTCCCGTGATGCATCGCGCTCGCCGATGGCTGATATTCGAGCCCTCGCTTGAATCGGTCCTTAGGAACGAAAAACATAGCCGTCCGTTTAAAATACAAGCGTGAGGTATTTATTAGCAAATAGAGTTGACCATGTTTAACTTATTTGTGAACGTGAGAGATATATTTTAAGTTTCGACTCAGTGCCCCTTTCAATCGGGCGGCGGCTTGCGCCACCTATCGAGTGTTCTAAATAATAAAGGTCAGTCCCTTACCGGAAGACGGCGCCCCCTGGTGCGGCGTGGACGAGTGTCCGTTGGCCTGCCGGCACACCAGGCTGATGGGCGACGAGTGCTGGCTGCGGGCCGTCGACATCATCTCGGCGTAGTGGCTATAGCTAGAGCGCCGGCCCTCGCGCCGGTTCCCGTCGATGGCTGCCTGCAGCTCGTCCGGCTGGCTCAATTTCTCCTTCTCGCACTCGTACGGGTACAGGTACTTCATGTACCTGCACAGCAGGGAACCGTCTCAGTTGCGGTATCATGTTGGAGAAAGAAATCACTCATGTATTCGCACAGGGGGGACCGTTTCAATTGTTGCATGATGTTGGGGAAAGAAAACACTCATGTATGTCCCTACACAGAAGGGGCCGTCTAAGTTGCGGCATCATTTTAGGGAGAGAAATCACTTGTGCACATACAAACAAAGAGGGGGGGGGGGGCAGCGTCTTAGTTGCGGCATTAAAGGGGCGGTGCAATGATTTTAACACTGAACGAATGTGCAGCTTGTATTTTTTATATTGTTTACTTCGGCATAAGTAAGAGAAACAGTGCCACCATACCCCAAAATACCTCTATTTCACTGCGTAATCGTAAAATAAAAAAAGCTTTTTTTCCCAACCTGCGGCCACATGGTGGCCGCAAATTGAACCTGTGGTGTGACGTCATTCGGAGTGGTTTTTGTAAGTGATAGTGTTAGGCAATTGTAAGCTTGATTTATGGTTAAGTTTAAAAAAATCTTGTTGTTTAGGCATGCAGAAACGCTTCAAAACCCTAATATTTCCGCTAAAAGGATATGAATTATTTGTGGCGCCATCTACCGCAAGTCAACCAAACCTGCCGTCGCCGTCATCCGTCGACGCCCGAGGCGCCTACGGCGGCTACACGAGCAACCCGGACGTTTTGTCTTTCCCTCGCTCGACGGAGTGCGTTGGTCGTGGTCCGTAGTATCGTGGTATCGTTATTGTTCCTGGTGTCTCGACCTCGACTTCTACTTCGACTGCCCGCCGCGTCGCAAGCATCTTGCGCTCAACGTCGCTCAGGCCGCCCGCCCATGCCGCAATGTTGGTCGGGAATCGGCGGGAGAGCGGGAGTATAGCGGGAGAGCGGCGAGCCTGGCGAGCGCTGGTGAAACGGAAGCCAGAAGAACCCAAACGGAAACCAACGCCACTCCGAATGACGTCACAGGCGAAGCTGGTGCCGCTTCAATGTTGAGTTGAGGGGTGCCAGAGATACCAATTTCTTTTATTTTTTTTTTAATGAAAACTAGGGCAAGCAGGAAAGAATAGTTTTCGGTCCTTCGTTTTATATGTGGCCGGGATCAATTCCCGCAATTAATTAGCCAAAGTCCGCCAATTGTTGCACCACCCCTTTAAGTCGGGTAAATATAGGCCACGAGGGACCTTCTCTGTTGCTGCATCCTATTGAAGAAAAAAAGCAGTAACTCGAAATAAACTTCATTTTATCATAAAGGCTTGTGACACTTGTGACTGCTTACGGCCGAGCGTTTCACGACTTTTTGTGATCCCTTGAAAGCAGACCTTCCACTGTAAAACGAGCCGGAGAAATCAGCACCTGTACATAGAAAGCTCAAACTTTAACCAAGTGTGCACTGAGCAGGTCAATTTTACTGCGTGAAATTTCAAGGCGCACTGCTCCTCCTGCAAAAAAAAAAAAAAATTATAACAAAAGCTTACCAACGTCAAGGTTTTTCGCGTTCGCAGACGACCAAGCAAGCGCTATTTCAGTTGTGGCGCCATCTCCCGATGAGCGCAGCGAGGAGACGACGCACTCTGTTGTTTGTTCGATGCGCCTATCGGGAGATGGCGCCACAATTTAATAGCGTGGCTAACTCGGTCGTTTGCAAACGCGAAAAAACCTTGACTTTGGCAAGTTTTTGTTATAGTTTCTTGCAGGAAGAGAACCACGCCTTGAAATTTTACACGGTAAAAGTGACCAGCTCAGGGCACATGCGGTGGAAGTTTGAGTTTCCTATGTGGAGGCGCCGATTTTTCCGGCTTGTTATACAGAGGAAGGTCCGCTAGTGCCATTCTGTACTTCGTCAGCAGCGTTTGTCCGAGACTCATGATTTCACTGATTGAATGCAAATCCCTACGAACGCTGACGCAACAGTAGTGTTCATAATGTGACCCGCGTTGCTCCCTGTAGGTAGGTGACGTAGAAATTTTAGCTTTTCGGGCTTGCAAGCAGAAGTTGTAGTCAGTAATCCGTTTGGCCAGTTGAGAGGGAGGGTGAAGCCCCCCAAACTGCCGGTGTCTATAAAGGCCCGTTCACACACTTGCGACTCTTTCGAGCCGAGTGTCTTGAAATCTCTTAGGACGAGAGAACACACTGGCACGCTGGCGCCATCTATGCGGTGACTCTGAAACTGCATTTCACTAGAGCGAAGATTTTGCGGTATTCGCGAGGTCAAATGTATGTATCACTTATAAGGAGTATTCGTTTATAACATTGACAAAAGTTTTTTTTTAGCCAAAAAAAGAAAGAACAATGCGCGAAAGAAATAGGAGATATACGGGACCGCAAAGTGTTCCACTGCTGCCCGATAAATGGCGCTAGTGTGTTCTCTCGTCTGGTGTCTAGAGGGAATGCAGGCAAAGACGGGTCTGGAAAGCTATAGATTAAACAAAACAGTTATTGCCAAAGAAAGCATTTATGACAATTATAGGGGAAGCTCATTGTTGTTTGAGGCGAGGACGAGTGCTCTGCGAACCAGAACATACAGAGCGAAATACCTGGAAATGGATACAGTGTGCACTGCTTGACGAGAGGAGGACGAGACGGCTGAGCACTTAATACTCTACTGTAAAGGGCTTCACCGTATGCCTACCGAAGACAACATAGATCTAATAAAGCCATTGGGGTTTAGAGACATCGAAGGAAGAGTGGATTTCAAGACAGTAGAGATTACCAAGCAAAGGTTAAGTGAATGGTGGCAGAAAGCGAGAGAAAACTAGGTATTTTCTTATTAACTGATGGCAAATGGGTTTTATAGCCTCACTTTCTTTGCGGAGTGAATATAGACGCTTTACAGCAGCTGTGCATGGGCGCCGCCATAACTGACCTTCAGTTTTTGTTCCCTCTTATTCCGTTCGCTTCACTTCATCATTACCCCAGCAGGACAGGTTATTGCCATTTTAGATGCTACTGTGTTCTTCTGCCCAGCATAGGCCCCTGTGAAGACCCGTCAAAGCCCGCTTCAGTGGCTCGGCATCTCGGTAAGACAAGAGAAGGGCGGCTATGGCGGCTCAATCTGGCGCGTGTGTAAAGCGTCTATAGTCTTCACACTTAAACATGCTAAGCTTAAATGGTAAAACAAAATGGCTAGGTGGCGTAAGCTACCGCCCGATCCAAAGGAGTCAGCCGGATTCATCCATTCATCCATCCGTCTTAAGAGATTCTAAGACAGTCGGTTTTAAGAAGTGGCAAGTGTGTGAACGGGCCTTAAGACCGAGCTCTTGAGATCTTGTACGACGAGAGAACACTAGACAGCCTGTATTGCGGAGAGAGTTGAACTGCTCGATCGGGACCACGTGTTTTATGCGCCTCGTCTGCAATACGAGCTGGGAAGAGATGCCAACAGCGTTGATCGTCTGCAAACGTCTCGGCCTTTTTGCCTGCTTTCCTCGTCGCCGCGCGAAAACGCATCGCACGCGCGACCATTGCAAACGCTCCCCATGGTTAGAGACAGTCTAGGGTCTCTAGAAAACACACTGGCATGCTGGCGCCACCCATGAGGTGACCTTAGAACAGTATTTTACTAGAGCGAAGGCATGAGAACTTAAAATCGAAAGAATAAAACACAAAAAAAAAAAAAAAAAAAAAACACGCTTTCTTTTAAGGGAGCATTGGCTTTTTTAACGTTGCAAATTGAAATTGTGGTTTAATACATTGTAAAAGGTATGTTTAAACCCAGGAGAAAAAAACGTTATGCGCGAAGAAAATAGGAAATATGCTCATGTTCCACGGCCACCTGATGGGCGGCGCCAGTCTCTTCTCTCGTCGTAAGACTTCAACAGGTTTTAAGGCACACAAGCAGTCGCACGTGTGCGAGCCAGCCTCAGCAGTTTTACTCTCTGTGCATACCAGTCGTTTACAAGCGAGATAAAGTAATATAATACGACATCTCGACCACGAGGGCGCCTACACAGACGCCATCTCAAACTGGCGACATTCCACAAGAAGACAACAGCTGCTATTACGCCATCTAGCCGTTTCTATAAAGCCGCTGGACTACCATTATGAACGCCAGGGCCATCCGGCCCGTCAACGCAAAGCCAAATCAACGCCGATGGTGTACGAACGCCACCTAGTCTCTTTACAGTCTGTCTCACTAGAGAGAGGGAGGGGGGAAAAAGAAACACAGAAAAGAGCAAAAGCTCCAATAATCGCTGCGGCGAATGAGAGCCGTCGTAGCAGAACCATTTTACGCGTGTAATTTATACCGTCGCGAGCCACTGAACTCGATCCAGCGAACAAAGCTGTAGGCGCGCGACAGCCAACAGAAGACAAAGACAAAGCCACAGGCCAGAAAAGTACACACAGAGACAGCAGACGCTCTCGGAAATCATTGCAGCAGGCGGCAGCGGCCAAAACAGCCCGGGCGATATCACGCCATCCGTAACATCTCGCTTTAGGCCTTTTTGTCTTCTTGTTGTGTTCGTTTGCGCGACGTATGTCATTTCGACATTTTTCTTTTCTGCCGCGGTGTGTTGCCGTCCGCGTCTCGCGCTCTTCATATCTGACGGGTTCGTCTTCGGGGACTGACGCGTCGGTGAGGAAAGAAAGAAGAGTCGACATTTATTTCGGCAATTATCGTTAACTCGCGACCGTCGTCGAAGCCGCGCCGTTGTCGTGGCTGGAGGGCTCAGACCGAGCAGTTCGAGCGTCGCCTAATTGCAGACAGACGCGGCCTGATGCATAAAGTGCTTCTATTGTCAAAAAATGCACAAATGGAAACAAAAAAACGTTCAACCTTTTTTTTTTTTTTCAGGTTACATTGTTAGGTTAGCTGTTTTTAGATCTGCACACAGGGTAGCTACAGCGCATATTACGCTGTAAAAGGAGCCAGAAAAATTGGCACCTCGACATAGCTCAGACTTTCACCAAATGTGCAGTGAGGTTGTCGAGTTTACTTGTGAAATTTCAAAGCGTAGTTCTATTCGTGTAAGAGGAATAAAACCTCGAAATTCGCCAAAGTGAACGACAACCGTGTTCGCAGACGACGCAGTTAGTGATGAATGTAGCTTGTAACGGGCCATCTCCCAAAAAGGCGCAGCGAGCAGACGACGCACTCTGTTGTCTGCTCGCTGCGTCGGCAGATGTTGACCAGAATCGAATAGATATTTTGCAAAGCGTGCAGCGCCGTCCGAGGCGCCGAAAGGCGCCTCGGACGTTGTAACAGACGACAGAGGCGACCTTGCAGGAAACGGCGAACGGGCCAGCGCAGGCGAGCAAATGCGCTGTCTCTCTCGCTCTTTTCAATGTCCTATGGTATAGACGTGGGCAACAAGGAGCATACAGGACATCGCGCGCGGACTTCGGGATTTCTGAAGAAAAAAAGGTTCATCGGCGGACCCGCGAAGTCGGAGGACCGGTCACCTCAAGGGGTGTCCAAACAGGACACTACAAAACGCACGACTCCGACAAATCGTGAAAATTGAAGCGGACGCGCCCGCTTCAATTTTCACGATTTGTCGGAGTCGTGCGTTTTGTAGTGTCCTGTTTGGACACCCCTTCAGCCGCCACCGAAATGACGGCTTCGTTTCAGCGCGAGTCAGAGCGCAGTCCAGAGGTAGAAGACATATCAACGCAGAACTCACTCACACTGCTCTTACATCGTACAATAAACACGGTTTCGCTCCAGACATGATAGCAAAATTATCTGCGGAAACGATTGAGACATGTTCCAAGCATGACTGCCTAATACATACATACGTATGCTTCGAACATCTGAGCATACAGTTTGTGTACGACCAATGTGAGAGGACTGTCATACAGGAAAGGAACAGTAGAGATTTTGAAGGAATCGTCTATGCACATCCCATACGGTATAATGGGCCTTCCGGTACGCAGTGCGCATGCGCAACCACAGAAGACACTCGCATATGCGCAGTTCGTACCGGAGGGCGTTACGGTTCCCTAAAACTCTCTACTGCGTGTAGACCGTCTTTTGCATCGTGTATTGGCAGTGTGAACGCAGCTTAAAAGCGCAACGTAACGGCGCGTTCACCGGGTCCGATTAGGTCAGCCGACGATAATCCAACCGCAGAAGGACGACGGACACCATGAGGTTGCGGGTAGGTCGCCTCTTGGTTGGACCCATTGACTCTGCCGCGCTCCGACTTTCAAGAGAAGCAAACGGGCGTGGGCAGGCGACTCACTGTGTCCGCAGCGTGAAGGCCGCCGAGGTGATGGACGAGGGCAGGTTGAGTCCCTTGGTGATCTCCCGCCAGATCTTCTTGTTGATGACCTCGACGAGGCCTCCCCTGGACACCACAAGGCGGTACAGCTCGTACAGGTCGAGCACCTGCTTAGCCATGATCGGGATCCTGTTCACCGGGGTCCCTGCAGGAACGCAAAGGGGGCGCACGACGTCAGAGGGACCTAGAGTTCCTGTAGAGGGACCGGAGGCCTCAGGCTCGAGACTCCGAGCAGTGGCAAACGGCGAAGGTTACGGCCCCAGTGAGCTAATCAGCGGGTCGGAGGGACATCAGAGGGTTTAGCTAAGAGGGGAGATCCTCCTTCCCTTCTTCTCCAACTGCTTGGGCTATGCTTTTGCCCCTGCACCTTTGGTAAGCTCTGTCATGTGCTTCGCCTCAGTGACACTGATTGGCCCGAGGGGGCCATAGCGTTCACTCCTTGCCAAGTTACGGTAAAACGAAATATAGAGTTGCCTGAGCTGAAATATAATTGAGCTACAAATGCACTAGCAAGCTGACGAATACGTAAAGTCAAGGCTGGTTAAGTCATTTACGTGTGAGGCCGCTTATGACTACTTACGAAGAGATGGTTGTAATGGCAACCGAAGTCCGCGCCACACGCGTCGTGCAATGCAAGGAGCCGTAACGCATTCGGGCAGATCCAGACGCTAGTATCTGGACCAGCCTTTACAGTTAGAATCACTCGAAAGAAGTCACCAGGAATGACTCGTAAAATATCAGATGACGTCGAGGGTTTATCTGCAACGATGGGCAACACATAATGAAATATCTATTGTGATAAAAGGAATTGGCGCAGTTTGTGCCAATTCCTAGCCGGAGCAGGGTCGGTTGGCTTCGCTAGGGACCCAGGGTTCACACAACAGAAATTGAACCTTTCCGAAGGGTGCTTCGTTCGGAAAACTGAATTGTCGCCAGTCTGCCATTACTCGCCGAGTTTCAGGACTTCATTCATTCATTTATTATCTAATATCCAGAACAAACAAAAAATTACACGTGGAGCATTGGTTAAACGAAAAGAAAAAAAAAAATAAAAGTTAAAAAAAAATTATGCAAAATATTCGTATACTCAAGCGACGACCATGTATGAGAACAATACTGAAGATGAAAGAGTGTGTGATGATACAACATCATTAAAAATATCGGGGTCACTGACGAATATGAGCAGCGCAAATTCCTCCCACCATATCACCTAGCGGTCAGCCGACAGAATGCACAAAAGCACAGGCGATAGGAAGCACAGCAACATAGAACCATGGCGCATCTCGGCCCGTATGCTGAATATTACGACACGCACTGCTCCTGCTCACTGCTCGCCGCTAGAATGGCTACCAGTACTCGGGGCGTGAGCGCATCATCTTGAAGATTCTTTTTTCCCCAAAAAATTAACATTAATTTCAGCGAGATGTTTTACAGACGTGCTCAAGAAGTGTATTTAATAGAAGGTGCGACTTGTGCAATATATATTGAAAACTAAATGATACAAATATAGATTGTTTGGTTTTAATCAGCCGTATTGTTATTATTAAATAGACTCCGTGATCAGCTACTCAAGCTGTGTTCGTTTAACACTTGCTTGAATCGTATTTTGCTACTTTCTGCCATAGGGACCGAGGGAGGAGGAATCTTGTAAGGCTGCGAGTAAATAAGGGGTTTTCCTCGCCTTTGTGCTTTTGCACCTGATGTGAAATGGAATTAAGGTTATTAATATGAAAGTCGACGAGCTTCAAAAATTTCGGCGAAAGAATAGTGATTTTTTTATTTGTAGTTTTTGTCCCTAATCCCAGCAACATTATAGTCATATTTTCCAGATTCCAGTCATTCGCAAGTTCGTGTAAGCGATCCAACACACATCGTCGCATCGGGAAAAACACCAGTTTCCACCAGCTGAAGAAAATCCGATTTGCGATCCGAAGCCTCAGGAACTATGGAGAGCGGCATTCCCAGAGCGAACTAGCCCGACGCCCCGAGTACGTCAGAGACATCGAAATGACGTCACGAGCCTCGTCCTGGCTGCTTGCGTTCGGGTGGGCGTCGAGGCTTGGTACAGTGCCCAGGCAGTCCGATTTCCAGGAGGCAGGTGATTGATGACCGCGTTTGGAAACGTCCGGTGTAACTCGTCTCTCTTCTTCGCTCGGCTCCATCCTCGATTGTTACAATTGTGCGTGTTTTAAGGTGCCTGTGTCGAACCTTGTTGACGTCGCCAATCAATCTAATTTTGATCACGGGCAACACTGCGGCATATTCCCCTTTTTCTATTTCCTGGAGAATAAGAATTATTTATGTAAGCAACAAAATGTGAAGCCAGGTTTACAATTATTATAATCCTCTTAGACATTAATTTCTTCGTTATGTTGAGCGGAAATTCAAGATATAAGACCCCTTCCGAAAGACTGCCCTCTGTTGGCCATTATGGAATTCCTGCACAATGGCGGACCAAAACCGCAACGCCACGGCACACTGTACGGTATGCGTTGGGCTGATTTACAAGGCAAAAAACGCAATCACAGAAAAAGGTGATGAGCGGAATGACGTCGCACTTTTGACGCCGTTTGATTGGCTCGTCGACTCACAGCGTTGGCCACGCTCCGACGTTCGCTATCTCGTGGAATGACTTGCACGTTCCACGATGTCAGTTGTTCCGCCATTGTGCGGTTGTCCCAAGTTCCAACCTTCTCATAATCGGCACGTGACTTTCGAAAGGGGTCTACTGGAGTGCTGTTCCATCGAACCCAATCCAGAAAGTATCTCAGGACTAGTATTATAAAAAGCATGCGTTCGTAAGCTCATTATTAGTAAAAATGAATACTGCATTACTGCCGTCTAGAATACTTCCCGGAAAGTATAACGAATTCTGCTGTTTCTCGGCTAGAATAATATATTTTTATTGCGTTTTGCTTAGAACAGTCGAGAGATTGGGGCAAAGGACAAACGTCCCAAAATGTTTTCTTTTCTTTTTTTTTTTTTTAAGCGTGAGAGCGTTTCTTTTTTTGCACTTCATAACCACGAGGGTGATTAAAAATCGATCCGCAATTCGGTCATCTTAAAGTTCTGTTTGCAGCACTGTCTTAACACCGCTTTTCGTACGAGGTATCTATTTTTCCAGTTGCTGCTTTGAAGGTTTGAACGTGTTAAATCAGTCAGTTCGGTTCCGACTGTGGTTTGAGAAAAAATGACTGCCCCACTTATGAATTGCACAAGTGATGGAGCCATTGTTTTGTGGTCTGAGGGTTCTGCGGTCTGGTGCCGATCGAAGACTTTGTGCACACTATAAACGAGGTGCTTTTTGTCACAAAGAAGTACGTTTGAGTGGGTGCAGAAGTTCGTGGAAATACGCACAAGTGTCAGCCATAACGGAGGAGCAGGACACCCGTTCGCATCCTGCACTGACCTTGAGCGTCCACGTGAACCGATTATGTCGGGAAGACGAGTGATAGTTGACTTATATGGCAAATCATTCGCAAATCAACCGAGGCTTTGCCTGCAATCTTTCATGACATGCTTAGATCTACATCCAGAGTGCGGATAATGTTTTGTATCACCCTTGTACATCGTTCAGAAATACGTTCTGTCTGTATGAATGTGCGTAAGTAATTGTGCGTAATATATGTTCGTGTCTATGTGGCGCATGTGAATACAACAGTAGCGTTGAGGCACTGAAACATGAATAAACATATTTAAAAAAAAAAAAAAAACAGGCGGCTCGTGCCCAGAAAGTCGGAATTCTTTTCGGCCTCGATTTTAGTAGTTGCTTGAACCTGGCTCAACATGACACTGTCGATTACCAGCAAATTTTACAATCCAGAACTAACCACTGATACCTATATTGCAGGGTTCTCCAAACGTTTAAGCTAAGGGGCCGGATTCAGAACCTGTAGCAAACTCCAGGGCAAAAAAAAAAAAAAAAATAGTGACGACAACATAAATGAGGAAATTCCAAACGAATAACCCTAAATAAGCATTTGAATACCAAATTTTAAACTAAAGCAAAATTAAAAGAAAGAAAAAGTAAAGTGGATGATTACATACCGTATACTTTATTATTAAATGCAATATGTTGCTAATTATGGCATTGCAAAATAATGGTGGCCCAGACAACTCACCAGGCATAGAACAAAGCGCATATGAATACAGGACATATGTTTTATGAGAATGACATATCTGATGATAATATGCAAGAGTTATGACACAGATCATAGTAACACAGGCACGAAACAGGGAACTACGAACAGTAAGTAATGATGGTGATGACAAAATGTATAAGAAATAATATGGCGAGAGAACCCGCGTTTTGGTGCAGATTTTCTTTCATTCTTTTCGATATCTCCCCTTGCCATTTCAAAGCGCGTCGCGCGCCTCTTCTATTTTCATTCTTTTTACACGCTTATTTTTGCGTGTGTAGCAGCGGGCCACGTGTCCCTGGAAAGACTCGAACGGAGTACCTTCGCGAGCCGGGGTTTGGAGACCCTGGCATATTGTATCCCGGACAGTGGTTCGGAGGGGGCTGGGGGAAAGCCCCATTATCGGTCCCAAACAGGGCTTCGACGAGGTACACAAGCCACATCAAAAGATGGCGCCACAGTTCGAGCGCACGTCCGATATTGTTAAGAAGACCCCTACCCAGAGCCATAGCCTCCTCTATACGGAGAAAGCCTGGCGCGTCGCGAGAAAAGGCGGCCGCCGTAAATGGGAAAGGAGGGGCGGAGAAACGGGAGCGGAGAGAACCTTGCCTGCTAGCGCCACAAAAGAGCGAGCGGCCAAACGCAGAAACAATCTTTTTTTTTTTTTTCTTTCTTCTCTTGTCGCTATCGTGGAGAGGAGAAACTCAACGTCCACCCTTTCCCGTTTCTCCCTGCGCCCTTTCGAATCGCCGCGCCCGTTTCTCCCGGAGTACGAAAACGACGGTGACGAAAACACAAAAACAAGCGTGGTTCGGGGAGCGGCCGCTCATGACCCAAGCGCTCGCTGTCTAGGTCTGCCCTTTCTGCTCTGCGCTACCATATTGGTCACCGCTCGGCGCGCTCCTCCTCTCCTTTTTCCTGCGGCCGCGCGCCCTATTGCTCCGTCGTCGATGTGCCAGGCTTTCTCCGTATAGAGGAGGCTATGCCAGAGCATGTCAAGTGTGTT